TCTAGTTCCCTGGTCTCCTCCTCCCATGCCCGCCTCCAGGACTTCTCCGGGGTGTCACCCATCCTCTGGAACTCCCTGCCCCAACCCATCAGATTATCACCTACTCTCCTCTCCTTTAGGCGCACCCTGAAAACCCACCTCTTCAGGGAAGCCTACCCCACCCCTTGCTAACTTGCCGACCTCCTCCACTCTTCCTACCACTCCATCCCCCACAGCTATCTCCTCCTGTACCACCATCCCCTCCCTCCTAGATTGTAAGCTCCAAAGAGCAGGGCCCTCGATCCCCTCATGTTTTGCATTGTATTGGTATTGTTCTGTCACATGTTCTGTCCCCCTTTGTAATGTACAGCGCTGAGCGAACTATTGGCGCTTTATAAATACTGTATAATAATAATAATAATAATAATATTATTTATTATAATTTATTTTTTTAATTATTAATTTAATTAAATTATTTATTTATTTATCTTTCTTTTTTTTTTTTTTTCTACAAGCATTTTATTTTTCTCTCCATGCCAGGAGTTAGAGAGATACAATGTATCCCTCTCCTCCATTCATAGAGAGAGAAAAAAAACAAGGGGGCCGAGCTGTACAGTGACTGATCACTGTGATAGCCAATCAGAGGCTACCACAGCGATCTTGTGACTCGGAATCGGGAGTCCTGGGTGCTCTCATTGACACCGCGGTCTTTCTGCTGGGAGCCCAGTTCTGTGAGGCCGCATGTTTGTGTTACATCGATGTCAAGGGGTTAAGGGTGACTTGTCTGAAGAAGTGTCTAGGATTGGGTTTAGGGCAAAGTTTTAGTCCCCACCTAGCACAAGCATGCCAGAGTGGAAGCCGGATAGGAGCTGGGCAATGTTGCGAAAAAAGCTTACCTGAGCGACATTTGGGCTATAAATATTAGCCAATATTACCGGCTTCCCTTGTAGGGAGCCTTTAAGAAAAATATAGCGTCCGTCCATATAGAACAGTCTGCCATTTTAATTTTTTGGAAATGAGTATAGAGGCCCCTTTCGTTTTCAAAGATGCATTGGTGGCATGGACAACTGTAGGATAATATATATTGGATAGTTTGGGTACGGAGTCTGTACCAAAGTGTGTCTCCTGAAGAAAGATAATATCTGCTTTGAGACTACGCATAGATGTCAATATTTGGGAACGCTTTTCAGGAACATTTATGCCTTTGACATTCAAGGAAACCATTTTTATGGTGTCAGGACAATCTGTCGGCGTATGTGGCGCCATAGCTGCTCTCTCTGTGGAAACGGTTGTGGAAGAAAAGATTGTGTTTCCCCCTAGAGGTATGGTGAGAAGAGGAAGTGTCAAAGAGAACTGTTTCACACTAATAAAAGGGTGCAAGGGGTTTCTGGGTAGAGCGTGGGTTAATGGGAAGGGAGAGAGGAAGAAAAAAAAGAAGAGGGGTAGGAGTAGAGAGTGAGAGGAGCCGAGGGAGTAGGGAAGTCAGAAGAAATGGAAGAAGATCTAGTAATCTAGTGAGCTAGTGTAGACCGGCTAATTTGCTTTAAGAAGGTGCAGTAGGTCCGGAAGGAGTCCGTCAAGATTCACAGAATCGGCCGGGTGGAGATGTGGTAGGTGGCGATCGAGAACAACGGTTCGTCTCTAGCTCACAGAGATCTAGTACATTGCTTAATTAGAGGATCTGGTATGTGGGGTGCTATGTGACTCTCACAGGAGACTAGGGTAAGTCTACAGTCATACAACTACACACACATGCAGGGCTGTGGAGAAGGGGGTACTACCAGTCCTCCTGTAGGGGGCCCAGGCCAGCAGAGGGGCCCAGGTAGCTGGGTGAATCAGGTGTATGCAAGGAGGGTGATCGGAACAGCGGAGGGCGATTACTGGAAGCCCCTGTATGGCTCTTTCTGCAGCAGCTCATCTCCCTCCCATCACTTTCAGCTGCTGCAGAGAGAGCCATACAGGGGATTGGTTCCAGTAATTGCCCCACATCACCCTCTTTGTGTTTACCCTTGCTGCCCTGGCCCCATGGGAGTATTTACCACAAGGCAAACAAGGCATTTGCCTATGGCAACATTTTTCAGGGGGCAGCACTCCCCCCAGGAAGAATTGACACATGCACCAAGGGGACCAGGTGGGATCTGAGAGAGGCCGCAGGCTGCTTGATGATGTATACAGACCCGACTCTTGTTCCCAGGGGGGATATCCGGAGCTGTGAAGGTGAGTGTCTTTCTCTCTCACTCCGGGAAGGGGGTGGTGGTGGTTGTAGGTTAGTAGAGGGCTCTCTCGGGTGGGGGGCGCAGGGGTGTTTGTTGGTCAATGTCAGGCTCTCTCCACGGGGGGGTAGGATTGGTGGTGTTGGTCGGTGCCAAGCTCTCTCCCCTGGGGTGGGGTGGGCTTCAATTGTTTTGTTGCCTAGGGGGCAGCACAAGACAAAAATACACCACTGCTTGGCCCCCATTTGTGCCCCCACCCCCGCAGTGCTGCCGGCTACCCTCCTTTCCTTCCTTCCCATTGGCAGCTGCAGGCAATAGAACAAGAGGATCCTACAGGATGCAGAGTGGGGGAAGGTTCCAGTAAATATGTCACATTTACCAGCCCCTCCCTTTCCTGAATGAACACTATGATCAATCAGTACCAATCACTCACTGTGTTCATTCATAACTGAAGTATAGTAAACTGTGTTTTTTTTGAGGGGGGGGGGGCTGTCAGTTTGGCTGTATGGGGCCCCATGGTTTCTAACAGCAGCCCCGCACACATATACAGATATTCCTTTGCACTGTATTCGCTTGTTGCGATCGTTTTCTAGGGGGGGGGGATTAGTCTCGTAAGGCGCCTTAGGTTGGAGTTGGAAATCCATATCAAGACGTTTCTCCCTTCTCTCCCCTGTTAACATGAGTAGGTGCGCCAAAAAGCCAAATAAAGGCAATCATTACCCACGTTCCTGACCCGGGAGTGGGACATGAGTCAATGAGTTACCATACTCTTCACAAGGGGCGGGGGAATTTAAACTGGATGTGTTTCATGGAAATTCTGAATCACGCGGAAAGCATCAAAGATCAAAACACATAAATGAAATAACAAGTAAACCATTCGGTACTTACCCAACAAAGGCAAGACGTGAAAAGCATGAAAATCAATCAGATGCCCGGAGGAAAAAAAAAAGATCAAAAAACAGAAACAATAGATTAGCATCAACGACTTCCATTGCTCAGATAGGTTGCCACATTGTCCTCCATAGACTATTGAGAAGGAGGAAAAGTGCAGTGGACAATGGAAAAGGGGGGGGGAGGGCAGGGTACGGGGGGGGGGGGGATAGGGAAAGAGCAGGAGAGAAAACATAGTTACAATGTCATCCCATATCCCTCATTTTATTTATTTCAGGTACTTATATAGCGCCTTCAATTTCCATACACATATTGTACCTTCACATCAGTCCCCGCCCCCGAGGAGCATACAATCTAAGGTCCCTAACTCACATTCATACATACACATACTGGGGCCCATTTAGACAGGAGCCAATTCACCTACCAGCATGTCTTTGGAGTGTGGGAGGAAACCAGAGTACCCAGAGGAAACCCACACAGGCACAGGGAGAACATGCAAACTCCAGGCAGGTGACACTGTGGTTGGGATTTGAACCATTGACCTAGTATTGCCAGGTGGAAGTGCTAGCCACTGTGCTCATGCTTACTTGTTTTTAAGTGTTCCTGCATGGCGACCACTTCCTGTTATCTCACATATATATTCTTATTATTATAGCCAAACTTACCCCCCTAACTCCTCCCACAGTTTTTACACTACATAGACAGTAATATACGGAAACGTGCGGATTGTTCCCTATTGGTGTGCTATTACTTTGTGGAACTTTTCGCCGAATGGTTCACGAAATATCGGCGTTTTTGTGGTGAAATTTGTCCCATAGGGATGAATGGCGGAATGTTCAAAACTAGAGTGTGAGCTGACAAATCAGGACATGAATTCTAAACTGCCATCACTCCTTCATTTTCAAGTCCACCTACACAAATCTTATATCAAAACGTTCAGCTATTCCTGCTGCCACTAAAAATGTCCATGGCTAAGCCATAGTCCTGATAGTTTTAACAATATAGCCATTTGTTTGCAACTCACGCCGCCCATTGACATTCATTGAAACTCCACTCTAGCCACCTCAAATTTGAAGGGCAATTTCTAAACTGCGACTGTGCCTTCATTTTTAATATTTCAGAGACATACTATGCATCAAAATGTAGGTCTGGGTCTTGTGATTCTCACAATATAAAGCTCTTCGGTGTAGGATTTATATTTGAAAATGGCAACCGCCAGTGAAGTGAGCAAGTTGGAGCAGTTTGTTTTTAACCGCTCTTCTCTGCCCTTGCTGTAGAGTGAGTTGCCATAGGAACCCAGGTGTGTGAGCCCAGTCCAACCTTTTCACAGTTACTCAAGCCACTCGAGTTGTAGACTACTGGTGGAGGCAAGAACACTTCACACAATTTCCCCAGAAATTGTAGCATTTCTAGTTATTATTATTATTATACAGGTTTTATATAGCGCCAACAGTTTGCTCAGCGCCATACAATATAACGGGAGACAATACAGCAAAACAATACAGTTCAATACAAGAGGGTGAGGAGGGCCCTGATCCTGGGAGCTTACAATCTAAGAGGGACGGGCTGGTGGTACTAAAGGTAATAACTGTGGGGGATGGACTGGAAGAAGGAAAAGAAGATTCAGTTACTAGCTGAAGGCAGGATAGGCTTCCCTGAAGAGATCGGTTGTCAGAGATTTCCTAAAAGTGAGCAGAGTAGGCGATAGTCGGATAGATTGGGGTAGAGAGTTCCAGAGGATGGGGAAGGCTCTAGAGAAGTCCTGGAGATGAGCATGGGAGGAGGAGACAAGGGAGCTAGAGAGCAGGAGGTCGTGGGATGAGCGGAGAAGACAGTTTGGATGATATTTGGAGACAAGATCAGTGATGTAGTTTGGGGCAGAGTTGTAAATAGCTTTATATGGTATTGTTAATGTTTTGAATTTTATCCATTGGGCAATGGGTAGAGAGGGGTGGAGGACACTGAGTGGAGGTCAGTGGAGGGATTGGCAGAGAGGGATGGAGGACACTGAGTGGAAGCCAGTGGAGGGATTGGCCGAGAGGGGTGGAGGACACTGAATGGAAGCCAGTGGAGGGATTGGCAGAGAGGGGTGGAGGACACTGAGTGGAAGCCAGTGGATGGATTGGCAGAGAGGGATGGAGGACACTGAGTGGAGGTCAGTGGAGGGATTGGCAGAGAGGGGTGGAGGACACTGAGTAAAAGCCAGTGGAGGGATTGGCAGAGAGGGGTGGAGGACACTGAGTGGAAGCCAGTGGAGGGATTGGCAGAGAGGGGTGGAGGACACTGAGTGGAAGCCAGTGGAGGGATTGGCAGAGAGGGGTGGAGGACACTGAGTGGAGGTCAGTGGAGGGATTGGCAGAGAGGGTTGGAGGACACTGAGCGGAGGCCAGTGGAGGGATTGGCAGAGAGGGATGGAGGACACTGAGTGGAGGGATTGGCAGAGAGGGGTGGAGGACCCTGAATGGAGGCCAGTGGAGGGATTGGCAGAGAGGGGTGGAGGACACTGAGTGGAAGCCACTGGAGGGATTGGCAGAGAGGGATGGAGGACACTGAGTGGAGGGATTGGCAGAGAGGAGTGGAGGACCCTGAATGGAGGCCAGTGGAGGGATTGGCGGAGAGGGGTGGCAGATACAGAACTGTTGGTAAGGTGGATGAGTCTGGCAGCAGCATTCATGATAGACTGAAGAGGGGATAGCCTGCGATTAGGTAGGTCAATGAGGAGGGAGATTTGATTTTTTAGTTTTGAATAGAGGATATGGAGAGGACAGGTCAGCAGAATAACAAGTTGGACATGCATATTCATCTGGATATGGAGAGGAACCTGTATGGTGTCCTAAATCGTTTGAATAAAAACACACACACAAAGCTAACACCTAGATATACCAGATAAAGTGGTTAGGATGGTGGAGGCTGATGAAGTCTACGGTAGGAATGAGGCACCAATAAGCGCAGAAATTCCATGAACATACTTGTCCAAACAAGGCTTGATCGTAAAGACAAGGAAAGCAAGCGTATGGATACTTTGATGATCAGTTCCGTTGAGGTGAGCAGTTGAGGAATGAGGCTGACGATATCTTTGAAATCATAAATTGTCGCAGGGAAAAGTTTGAAGAGGGGAGTAGCAGGGGCTTATGCATGAGGAAGATGAGTCACTGTACCCAGAAGAACTGTACATGATCAGGTCAATCACACGTGCCAAGCACTGCGGTGTGCCGGAGAGGCCGGGAGGTGGAGAAGAAGGTGCGTATAGAAGGCGGTGGAGAAGATGGTGGTGTCAATCTGCGTCTGTGATTTTTATGGTTACTGCTGATCCCATGATCACCCTGATAGGCTGAGGTTAGTAGCGGTGGTAGGTGTAGGGAGCTCTACCAATCTGGTACTTCCATGAGGGGTATGTCCAGCTGTTCGTAGAACTGGCGGAGGTCTTCTGGTATGCGTAGGTTAGCAGTGCGGCCCATATGTGAGGCAGAGAGACAGAATGGGAACTTCCATCTGTACTTGATATTCCTGGAGCGTAGTAAATCTAGAAGAGGTCGGAGATCCCTCCGATGTTGTAAAGTGATATGAGATAAGTCCTGATAAATTTTGATTTCCGTGCCAATAAATATAATGCGATTGCGGTCACGAGCCCTCCGCAATATCTCTTCCTTAAGCTGGAAACTGACCAGGCAGCAGATTACAATCCTTGGAGGATCTATGTCCTTGCTCCTGGGTCTCAGGGTGCGATGTAGACGTTTGTAATCTGTAGGGGATTCCAGGGGTCTTTCCAGAAGGTCATTAAACACAGCGAGAACAGTGTGTGGTAGCTGGTTTGGTTCAAACGGAAACCTCTCACCCTCAAATTATGGCTGCGCCCACGATTATCCAGGTCTTCCAGATGTCTATGCAGTTCATGGATATGCAGGGCATGAAAATCTGTCGTTTGCTGTACTCTGCGTATTGCAGTGTCATGGCGGGCAGCAGTTTCTTCAACATCCTCAAGCCGCATGGCGGCCTCTTGTATATCCAGGCGAAGGTCTAAAATGGCAGCTGAGAGTGTGTCTTTAATGTCGGCAGCGATCGTGTGGAGATCATGCATATTTAATGGCTTGCCGGGATGAGAATCAGAGGAGGGAGAACGTGGGTGCCTGGCCGCCGTTGGGCTTGTACTGGCAGAGCGGGATGCGGCCTGTGACCAAGAGGCCCGCGTCTCTTGGCTGAGTAGCTCCGGTATATTGTGGCTCAGCTGGGTTCCCGGGTCTCGCGGTGAGTGCGATCGGGTGGAGGAGGCATTCTCTGATGATTTCCCTATTTTGCCGTAAGCGATCCTCTGCTTTTAGCTTGCAAAGGGACCTCTGTTAGCAGGAGCTCTTCTATCAGGCGACCATTCTAGACTGGGACCAGACCTCGCCCCCCTCTATTTTTTATTTTTATTTTCTATCCCATTTTATTCCATTCTTGTTTTCAAAGTCAATTTCGTTTTTGATTTCCATTTGACGTCCTGTAAATATGTTTCGTTATTTCGAATTTGTTACTATTGTAATCTAGGAAATTCAGATACATCTGAATCTCCAAATAACGAAAGATTAAAATGGGGATGTCTCTTTGCTGGATTGGGATGTCTCTTTGGTCAATATATGGGGCTGTCTCTGCTGGATTGGGAGGTCTCTTTGCTGGATTGGGATGTCTCTGTGCTGAATATATAAGGATGTCTCCTTGTTGGATGGGGATGTCTTTTTGCTGGATTGGACTGTCTCTTTGCTGAATATATGGGGTTGTCGGATTTGGTGGGACAGCCAGTGGGCTGGCCTTGGGGAATGTTGGTGGTTAGGCCAAGGGGGGCAGTGTAAGGGACCCCAAAATTTCTGAGAGCAGCCCTGCTCCCAGGGCCAGTGCTAGACTATTTTGTGCCCTAGGCAAGACCAACTACTTGCACCCCCCAAAAAAAAAAAAAAAAAAAAAAAACTTCACCTGTAGTGAACTTCTCTCCTCCTAGCACACATCCTCTTTCCCCTCAAATTTTCATCCCTAGCACAAATTCTATCTCCCAAATCCCCCCCACCTAGCACAAATCCCCCCAATCCCTGCTCCTAGCACAACCTCCTTCAAATTACCCTTCCTAGCACAAATCCCCCCTCCTAGCACAACCCGTCTTATCCCCCCTCCTAGCTCAATCCCCCCTCCTAACACAAATCCCCCTCTCACCCCCAAATCCCTCCACTAACTAAACCCCCCCAAATTACCCTTCCCAGAATTAAATTCTCCCATCTTACCCAAATCTCCCCCCCCTTTTAGCACAAATACCCCCCCTCATCAACCCTATTACCCTTCCCAGTACAAATAGCCCCATCCCCCCCCTCCTGCATAAACCTCTCATCTCAGCACAAATGATTGTTAGCCCCCTTACAGGCGGAAAACTAGGTAAAGGTGTGGGCTATGCTCTCCCTCCTGTCAATGGAGCGATCCTCTATAAAGCAGATGACACAGGATCGCTCTTGGATTGGGCTGTACACAGTTTGATTACCCCACCCCCTATCTTCTCCAATGACCGTTCATCTCTCTGCAGCAGGGAATGAATGAATTGAACCAGGCAAAACTTCCATGGAAAGACTGGCCCGGGGGGGCACAATTGAAATTTTTTGGGGAGTGAAGTCCTTCCCAGCACCCCCTAGATCCAGCCATGGTGGAAAGTAGGGAAACCAAAACCTGTGACTGCACCTGAAGCATCAGTGCGCCCTAGGCAGCTGCCTAGTTCATCTAGTGGTAGCACCGGCCCTGCCTGCTCCCCCTAAACTCTGCCCATTGTACTAAGCTCCATCCCTCCATCCCCCCAGTACACAGCTCCTCCCACCACCAAACTTCCCTCTCCTTCCCAATACAAAGTATCATGGAGGAGGGCTGCTGTGGAAGATCAGCTAGTACTTACCTGAGAGTGAAGGGATGAAAGCTGCTCAACCAACCCCAGGAATCCAATGTTGAGAAATGGCCTCAGCTGCCATACTGGCACCACTCTCTGACATGTTTCGCCCCGCCCACCGGGGGCTTGAAAAGCAGAGGTCTTCTGTGACCAAGCCCCCTGGTGGGCGGGGTGAAACGCATCAGGGGGCATGGCCAGTACAGTGGCTGAGGCCATTTCTCAGCATTGGACTCCTGGGGTCGGTTGAGCAGCATCCATCTCTTCACTTGTATTGGCTGACAATGGAATCGCTCAGACTCATGTTCCCCTCTTCTAACTTGCTGGTGGGGATATTCTTTTCCTTCCATCAATAGCTTGGAGCAGCGCCATAAGGTACACTTTTCACTTACCTGAGAGTACCAGGGAGACGTCCTCAGTGCCAGCGTGGCTCAACTCCTCCTCTGTTTCATAGGGGCAGGAAGGGTTCTGTGCCTGAGCCATTGACAGAGAAGTACTGTCCCTGGTAAACACAGAAGCCGGCAGAGGAAGCTAGTAGTGCAGAAAACATACTGTACTGGCTCTTGTGTTTAGTCACTGAGTGCAGTGCAGTGCTGTAGGTGGGGGTACTGAATACCGCCATGTTCTGGGCAAAAAAAAAAATGAACTATGTAACTATATTTGATCCCAAGTGGTCATCATGGTAGTCTACCGGCCCGGCAACATTTTATCTTGTAAGTCCAGAGGGGCCCTTTGCTATTTGGAACCAAGAAACACGGTCTCAGTTCTTGTAAAGAGAACGTAGCCTCTGGCCATTGAATGAGCATTCTGGTTGTAGCAGTACACCATGGGTGGCAATGGCATATCCCCCCCCCCTTCCCAGTCACACCACCACCAACGCCTCCTATAACTCAAACATCAATTACATCTGAAAGCATTTCTAATAGCATTAATAAAGTTCCGGAACTGTGTGGGAACGCTCTGAAAGAAGCTGATGGTTTTTCCTTGCTAAATATTTTTTTCTACTCCCCCAGATTAATTATTTATTGCATGTCTAGTCCCCAAGGAAAGTTGATCTTTAAAGCACCCATGCGCAACTATACATAAATACCTTTGATTTTTAATGCTTTTGGCCTGACAAATGTAGCTGCCAGACAAACCAAAGATCCAATTACAGGTAAATTGTAGAGGAGTGAAGTAATAGGAATGGTAACAATTGTTTTTTTTAAAAATTCCAAAGAAGTTCTTTTGTTTTCATAGGGCATATTGGAAGCATCTGCCTGGGAGATCCTCACTGCCCCCACACCAAGTTTTTCTAAAAGCTTTTGGTAGGTAGAAAAAATACAATTAGCGATAATACAAGCACAAACATTAATCAATAATAAAGTTCTCCTATAGATTCTAAGGTGTCAACTTCAAAAGAAGAAAAAACTCCAAATGTATATAACAGATTATATTTCATACAGAAACATACTGCAAACACAACGTTGCATTGCTATAAAACACAACATGTAAAAATAACAACAACAGTAGGGCTCGGTTCACACTGCCGCGACTTGGGATCCGACTTGTGAGACCCCTGTGACCAAGCCCCCGGTGGGGAGGGGTGAAACACATCAGAGGGCGTGGCCAATACGGTGGCTGAGGCCATCCTCAACATTGTTCTCCTGCGGTCGGTTTGAGCAGCATCCATCCCTTCACTTGTATTGGCTGACACTGGAATCGCTCGGACTCATGCTCCCCTCGTCTCACTTTCTGGTGGGTTGATCCTTTTCCTTCCATCCATAGCTTGGAGCGTGCCATAAGGTATACTTTTCACTTACCTGAGAGTGCCAGGGAGACGTCCTCAGTGCCAGCGTGGCTCAACTCCCCCTTGCTTTATAGGGGCAAGGAGGGTTCTGTGCCTGAGCCATTGGCAGGGAAGTGCTGTCCCTGGTAAACACTGAAGCCGGCAGAGGAAGCTATAAGTGCATAAAACTTACTGTACTGGCTTTAGTGTTCAGTTGGTGAGCGCAGCACAGTGCCATAG